GCTAAATTAGGGACGGCTAGCGCAGATAGCCCTCGTGTAGCTTTGCGCGAAATTCAAAAACAAACAAACAATTACCTCTTATAAATACCCACATTTCATAGAGTCCTGCCTATTTGTTTGAATTGGTTTTTAACTGTATTCCATAACATACAAAAAAAATGCCTTTCGACTAAGGATGCTATGAAATTAAAATGTATTACTTCTCTTAGCCTAAATATATATTTCAGGCAATGCGAACTTTCTAGCGTTTCTAATGTATATGTTGCTTAGCGTGTTATCTCACGATGGGTCAGCGGTAAGTTTAAGGACTTTCAACGCTAAAGTCCGGAGTTCGGGTCTTCGTGGTGTGCAGAATATAGATAGTCAATTGTGTAGCGTTTCGCTAAAAGAAACTCTTTAGTCCAAACATGGCCGCCATTCCATTATATCTTTACTTTAGAGGAAAACTATTCAACTTCTTCCATCGTGAACTGGCTATTAACTGGCGGATTTTCCGTGAGTTCCCTCCCAGTGGCACAGCGGTATGTCTGTGGACTTGCAACGTTAGAAACCAGGTATTGATACCTGTAGATGGCAGAGCACAGATAGCCCATTGTGTAGCTTTACACTTAATTACAACGAACTCCTTGAGTGCTTTCGTTAAAACTTCCTTTATGTAAGGCTGTGTGAAAATTGTTCGCTACACTGACACTTACTGGATCTAGCACCGACAGAATGAACGACGTCAGCAGTTACTGAACACCAGGAGGCGTCAAAACGTAAATATAGTTTAGTCGCTTCAGCTGGCTTAGAGGTCACTAATTTATTAGTTAAAGTAACGAAGCGTCAGGTGGCTTAGAATACAATATATTAGTTAACGTAACGAAGATGGATAAAACAGAATACTTGGTTAAATAAAATAGTAACACATGGTTTAGATCAATGTTTCTCAACTAAAATCCGTGGAGAGGCGACGATGTTTTTCAGCCACTTTGTTGATCTTTCGGATTTCATGAAAACAAACAAAGAAACAAAAACCGACAAAATATTCATATGTAAATCGTTGTTCTTGCATTTCAGTGGTCCCCGACAGTTTAGTAAGACAGCGAGCCAGCCCCCTGGTGTCGAAAAGGCTGAGAAACGCTGGTTATTAGACGGCTAGCGCAGATAGCCCCGTGTAGCTTTGCGCGAAATTCAAAACAAACCAAACCGTTTCGTTGGACAGATCCATTATTAGGAGGATCACGACCTATTTGTTACGGCGGAATTATCATCATCAATGAACCAAATGTTTCAGAATAGAGTCTGTTTTGTAGAAAACAAAATTATGTTACATTGACAAGAGAAATCCCCGAAGAGCAATTATTTCTGATATGACGTCAGAGTGGAGCGAAAACCTTCTTAGTTTACTATTGTTCCGTTATTTAACCAACGAGCTTAAAATAAGTTTCATTTAGCATAGAATATGTTAAAACAAATCATAATTGAAGGAACTAGAAGCTAGGGGGACAAAAAATGCAAATGAGGAATGCAAATTTGTCTGTCTTCATGTTCTAAGCGAGCTTTGAATTATCTTAGCTGTCAACTTTCTCACACTTCGTCTTTTATATATATATATATATATATTTTTGTGCCGACAAGAATTCTTATTAATTATATTTCAAGAATTAGGGACAGTGCCGATTCAGTAATGACTATAACCAATCAGAACATGTTCGAAAGCGTGTATTATCATGAAGAACGTATACAATATAAATTGAGAAAAGCGATTTTTAACTTGTCTTTTATTCATATGAATGTAAAAAAACAAACCTAATTCGATTTTTGGTGAAAAGTTTAAAACTCAAATATCTTGTGTTTAATCAATTTCCTCTAGAATGTTTCGTTGCTTTTTTTTTTATTTAATGGACAGGTCAATAAATTCAACTTCCTGGGCAGTTGGATAACATCATATGGTAGATGTGAACATTAAATAAAATGGATAATAAAAAACACATTTCTGAAAAATGAAAAGGATACTGACAAATAGTAACATTTCTATGGGGAAGGAGTTTTGATTTGTTTTGTTATACCAATTTTCATGTCTGTATCGGGATGTTGGACAATATCAACAAGTAAGGGAAATAGAATTGAAAAAATTGAGTTGTGGTCCTTAAGACATATATTGAAAGTATGTTGGACAAGTCACACCTCAAATAAAAATATTTAGTAAAGAACAGGTTGCAGGAAAAAGCTTCTGATTAACATCCAACAGAGACAGCTGGAGTTTCTTGGATACGTTACGAAGAAAGAAGAGATTGGTTTTATAATTTAAAAGACAAAATACGCGATTTTTAACAAAGAGTTTTATCTGTACTTAATGGTCGTAGTAATGTTGGCGAACATAATCTGTATTAATTGATATGAACTTATGATTAAAGCAAATTACCAAAAGATATCAGGATTAAATGTCAACTCAATAATAAGTATAGCTAATTATATATATTATTCACTGTTCTTACAGTCTTATTCATAACAATTAAAATGCATTATTTCATCAGCTGGGTACGCTCGGGGACAGCGATATTTTCGACCGTAATCCCAAAAATACCCCATGAGTTTCAGCCATTTTAAAAGACTTAGGTCGGTTTTAAATCCATATACTCAACTACAAATTCAAACTAATTTTATATTAAAAATAAATGTATTAAACACCAGCTGGAGTACTCGTCCGCTGGACGGAAGCTATGTAAATTAATGATTAATGAAAGGTTGTCTTTTACATCTTGTTTCCCTTATATATAATTGTAAAAAAAAAAACTGCATAACACAAAATGCGAAACTAAAAATTTGTATGTATCTTCTCATGGACCTAATGAACATCCATTCTAATTTTGGTGAAGATCCTTTCACACCCTGCGAAGTAGTTACATGGACATACAACAGACAGTACTATTATAT